GGGTGCCAAAGAAGAGCCATATTTTTTTTTAGTTTTGCTTATATGCGCACTCAGTATTTTTGACCATTTAATAAATTTTGTTGTAAGTTACATTCGTTTAATAATCACCCGTCAACTTTTTTTCCCTAAAGCGATCTAAAAAAAAATTATTGCCATTTATAAAAATATCCCTAGACTTTTCCGATGTGTGTATATTGCCTCCCAAAAATCCACAAACCTGGAAAATCAATGAGCCCCATCGTGTCAGCTATTGGAGCTCCTACCTACCAAATAGCAAAGTGGCTCACTAAAGAATTTAAAACCTTGTCTATTGCGGAACCAAGTTTGAGTATACAAAACTCTTTAGAGTTCATACAACATACAAAAAACATGTTTCTGCAAGAAGGTGAGATTTTGGTTTCTTTTGATGTTAGTTCCTTATTTCTTAGCGTCCCAATTCCACAGACCTCAGGGAATAACTAGAGAAAAATCATTTCAATAATAACGAAAGGTTGCTTTTATGAACAACAGGAAGGAACGGCGATGGGAAACCCCTTGTCCCCCTACCTGGCAGACCTGTTCATGAGCAGATTCGAAATCGAAACCAAAGAAAAGTCGAAGTATTTTCCTCTAGGATTTGGCTAAGATATGTGGATGATATTTTCGCGATATTCGATACCAAAAAATCGAATATTGAGGACTTTGTTTCCATTTTAAATAATAGATGTCCATCAATAAAATTTACCAGAGTTCTAAAAAACAAATATTTCAGAACAAACATAATTCTTTCGCAGAATACAAAAAAAATATCACAATTCCGACTTAATTATTATTGCCAACATATGCGCGGCACAAAATTGCAAGAAAAACATTCAGTCTCACTGGATGCCGTAAAAGTAAAAATTCGATTAAATCGGCAAAAGGTGACATGTACATTCATCACAGCCTGGTCCCATTTGTGCCGTTAATGGCTGTTTATGTGGCAAGACATGGAGAAACCGACGATTTCAGTTTTCAAATTCAGAGAAACACAACTAGCATACTGATGAACTTGTATATATATATACGTGTCCGGCTTTATCTTTTACGGCTCTTTCGCCATTGTAAAAACCTGTCGGGAATTCTTGCAAACACCGAAATGAATAGCTGGAAATTAAAATATGGTAAAAAGAGCCTTGAAGAACGTGAAAACAAGAAATTGCGAGGCATGAAGCGGTGGAAATTATTGTCGTGGGAATATCTAATAAGGCAGCTGCTTTCACATATAAAAATTAACCTGTGCTTGGTGGAACAACTCCATTCTGTCAACTGTACAAATGATTTCAGTTTTTTAGAATAAAAAGCTTTTTGGCTTTCTACATCTTCAAACAACAAACGCTGGAAACTTCTGAAGAAAGGAAGAACACAATTACCGTCAAAGTAAAGACTTGAAAACTTTGAGAAACGTACGGCTCAATAATGAATGTTTGAAGTGAAATGGATGGAAAAAAGTTATTTTTCATGCAAATCAATGTTTGCAATGTTTTGTAAAGGAGAATGCTCCAAGCAGCTTTATAGTACCAGAACTGTGTGTCACTGTCATTTGAATCATCATTTGCAGAGACTTGAACTGCCGGAAAACAGTGAGTGTCGCCTCTGTTTGGAAAATGATGACACATCAGAGCACATACTTTGTGCCTGCCCCACTGGGAACCGAATCAGGTTTTTAGAGTTCGGCAGAGCCGTACTCTCACCACCTGATCTGAAAGACCACTCACCATACAAACTTCGTTAGGAAACTGAGTTTATTTGGTCGAGTGTGAATAGGTGTGAGCCACAATGAAGCCTTGCGGGTTACGGTGAGGGGTCGATTGGACCCTCTCACTTTGGACCTAACCTAACATAAATCAAACTTCATGTGAGAGTGGTTGTTTGTATCTGAAAGACACAATCTGTGCATGATTCACAAATTTTTTGTATAAAGTATATTTCACGTGTAATTTCTTCCTAATTTTTTCGGGAGTTTTTCACATTTCTTCCATTAAAGCGCTCTTTCTTTCAAACTTACAGTTTTGAAAATGTTTTTTGAATTCATATTTAGGTATGAAGAAGGGTTTAAATTCTTAACCTGTTATGAACGGTAGGTTGAAAACCAAAAAGCTCAGCTTCCCTCAGTAAAAAATTTTGTAGGATGACATCTAAACTCCTTATCAGAAAAGCGTGACTGAGATCTTTTTAATATCAAATTGAAATTTCGACAAATTATAGAGAAACGTCCTCTTAAGAATTATAAAAATGCATTTTAAAGTGCAGAATAGTTTCCATAGTCTATGTTACCTGAAGAAATACATGTTCCAACTTGGTAATAGTGTTTTCATCAAGGGTAGGCCAATTCGAATATTTCAATTTTCAATGTCATTTGTTTCCTTGGTTCAAAAAAAATGGGAAAATCGGAAAATCAGCAGAAAACAAATTGTTGGTGACATAATCCAAAAGAAAAGTCATAATCATGCGAGCAAATCAGATTGCTGTGAAAAAATTATCAATTTAATTAAAGACGATCCATAAATTACTATATGAGAAATAGCAACGCGCCCAGTCTCCGCAAGGGTGCAAAACTGATATCCCTGCATTTTAAATCTGTTATCTCTTCGAATATAGTAATTTCAATTGCATGCTGTAAAGGGCCATATTGATCTATATTAAATGCACAATGTATGTAAGTTACTTGATTTTTAGCGCACGTTAGAAACCTCTAAAATTATCAATGTTTCTCTTGATTCACCCTATCTATTTAAAAACCCGCATCAAAATTCGTTGCGTATTTTTGAAAATCTGAGCATACATTAGGAAAGACACCGGGAAGCGACTTGCCATGTAGTGATTATTAGCCTACAATGGATATACTGGAATATGAAAAGAATTCTTGAAGTTTATAAAAGCTTGATCACATCGGCTTTGAGCAGAAGTATGTTATTCTCTAACACTGCAGTATCTAAAATACGATCTATCAAAAAGTCACAATACTGGATTAATCCTTTCGACCAGTTGTGTTTGCTATTGATCCCCTGTGTATGAAAAAAATGGCTAATAAAAAAGTGTGAAAATTTCAAATCAGTTCAAGTCAGATTTATTGTTTTATCGTTAAAAATATCGGCTCTAATGAACTATAATTTTGTTCCGAATATGGAATTTCTTGTCCAAACAACAATACCGTCGTGTACAATAATTCGGTGTATGAAGTATACCCGGTATATGAAGTGATATATCATCAACATATATAAGATGCATAATAGTGCTCCTTGTGATGCACTGTATGTAACCAAAGATTCCAAACAGTGGTTTTCAACACCAAACCGTTATTTTAACACCTCGACACGTGTTTTATCACCAAGTGATCATCTTCAAGAGGAAGATCAAACTGATCCTGCTCCTAGTAAACTTCCTTGTGTGGAGAACCCGGTTCAATGTCAAATTTTTCTGATATTATATTGTTAATAGATATACTGACCATATTTTCGTATCGTTTATATGAATATAAGGCATATATGTAGTTGCAACAGTCGATGAAACAAATGGAAAAACACTCATTTATCCCGCTACAGGCCCTATATTTCAAAGCACAACCAATTTCAATGATTCAAATAATCCGCAGAAGCCATTAAAGCATATATGTTGGATAAAAAGCCATTTCACGAACGATAACTAGTAGGCGGTGCTCGGCGGTATTTTTACCGATAAATCCCAACAACGTTCGTCGAAACGTTATTAAAATTGTTAATCATACAGTGCCGTTCAGAACAATATAGAGCTTTTCAATTACGATGCATTTGATATTCATTAATGCGGAATTAAAAAGTCGGCAAAGCGACCGGCCGTACAATCCGTTACGGCTTTATGAAAACAAATGAATGCGTCTGCTATTCTGTTGTTTTCGCGACACGATGACAAAACGCGAGGATTATAATTAAAACACCTTCGGGTTCGTTGCACAGAGAGTGGATGATCGTATTTTTGGGTCGATTATAACTGCCAAAAAAATAACAGCATTTTAAAAAACGGCGTAATATTTTAAAACTTTCGCCTGACCGAGTTTTATGTTTGATAAGACGGTGATAGAGCTAATTAAAGAAGAAGTATTCAATATTACCGAAGAAGACTGACAGAAAAGGAATAAAAATGTTATTTTAGTTGAAAAAAACAATATAGAGATTGGGCACTTCCATATATTAATGGAGGAAATAACTTCAGTATTGATTTAAATGATGACAGTGATAGTGAAACAGGAATTTTCAGAAGCTTTCGAAGCTTTCAAAATGTGAGAAACCAAGAAAAGTACTGTCAAAAATCATCAAAGGACAAAATATCCTTAGAATAGTCCGATTAATGATTCGTTAAATTTTTACCGCATGTTTAATAAATACCCTGTACACCCAGAAAAACATTAACAACTATTGAATCACCCACAAAAAATGTAATTCAAAGAATATACTCAAAAAGTATACATTTACTATTTCAAATCCATAATGTAATACAATTATGCATTATAATGTGATAATAAGGTAATAATAACGTAATAATAACCTTATCAGTTTACAAACCCGCCAGAATTCTACTGTAAATAAATGAAAAGAGCGACTTTTGACATATTACAGTATGGAATCAACGTGTCTAATGTTAAATCATTGTATACCTGCCAGTGTATAAAATGGATGTTTACATCAATCAGTATATAATTCAAATATTAAAATATCCCTCTACAAAAAACGCATATACAACTAATTAAAATTTGGTTTTTACACAGATTGACAAGTAGAGTTCTAATCTGATAAGCAGATTGTCAATAAACATGTTACTAATTGGAAAATTCATTGTTCTAGTTGAAAAAAATTCTACTCACCATTACGTAATGCCTTTGGATTTCTATCTTTTCACTCGCCAGTTTTTCACATTCTAATTTTAAACTGAAACAAAAAAGAATAATGTTGTTGAAATATTTCAAACAATACGAATAATTTTAGTTCTTTCCGGAACTAAAAAATCATTTAGACTTTCAGTCAAGGGAACAGAGTAATGTTAACCTACTCTGTACTGAAGAGAGGCAAAACACCCGATTCCGTATTGTAATTAAAAGCCAGTTCCATAATCCTTTCGTCGATTATAATGATGCAATAATAACACATTGGCCTGAGTAAAAAGTGATAATGCATTTTCAATTGTATTCAACTAACATTAGCTACAATGAGGGATCAAGACAAAGAGGTCATTATCGTACCTGTTCAATAATGTATGCGAATGGTAAGTAGTAGTTTATATCCTGGAATATAGGACGATTAGAGGAAATAAATGGTTTTCTAATATGAAATAATGAAAGCCTTTCAATAATTGATGAAGTCTTTGTGTATATGTTTTATAATCTTCTATTCTGTTTGTGAATATTTTATCAGTTACAAATAGGCAATTTTTACTTTACTTGACTCTAAGTATTCTGGATTACTATTCATTCATTATGTATGATCTTTGAAAACAAAAAAATGTCTATCTTCATTTATATGTGGCATACTTTTGTTTAGCAAATGCCCTGCAACTAATCCAAGCACCTAACAGTCTATTATCTTACAGGTTTGATAATTAATCCATTATGACCATCGTACGATAACTCTCGGCCATCGGTTGTTATATAACGATCATAGATGAAAAGATACAAATCATTATTAGTGCATCATTCAATCACGTTTCACCGAACAGATACATTATGAAAAAAACCTAAGAAACAGCTTATTAAATAATATATAATTTCACTAATCATATAATGCTGTAGCATTAGCATAACATTATACGAGTAGTTGGAGAAATGACAGGTATATATATGTAGTTGCAACAGTNATGTGTCCGACTCAGTAAACCCATAAATTAAAACTTTTATTTTCCAAATTAAAAATCCCTAAGTAATTCACAATAGGTTAAAATGCCTACCGATGATGGTGCCTAGCGAAACAAATGAATGTGAAACCTAGATTATGTTTATTGTTTTGGGGTTTACTGTGTTTTGATCTGTTTTATTGTGAATTTGTGACATTAATGTCTTTGGTGGATTTTTATACACTTAAAAAACTAACGAATTGGTAAAATTAATTACTTCTGCTAATAGGAAGCACAAGAAATCACAATAATTCGTAAAAACAGCTGACAGATTGGTTTTTCTATTATCGACTTATTTTTAATCCACAAAATACTCGAACTCAATATCCACCAGCAATATTTACCCACAAAATATCCTAAAAATTGTAATTCACAATTTCTGAAACGAGAAAACTCAAACCTTATAGCACATGTAACTCTTAATTCAACCCTTATTTAAAAGAATCTGACTTCAAACCCAAAATTTTCGAACTTACTCTTGAACTTATTGAACCATACTCACAACTCTCGAACTCACAAACTAATTTTTTGAATACATAAAACCCATCTAAGCACCGGGGTGCTCCAAAACATCTTTCAGTAACAGGCCTCCGCACAGTGACCTGTGAGGAGGGCTGTTAGACATCGTAGTTCATCCCTACTGTGGTCCAACANTCTAGAGGTGATTCCGAATCGAATAAGCTATCGCTCATATTTTTAGGACCTTTATATCTATTTTTCCTGTTTTTGAACTTGTTGATTAGACTACCTAGCATATGCATGTGCTCTGCTTCGTAGATAAACTTGAAACTGAATATAACTAGACAAGAATCGACAAGGAAGACTTCAGTTTCAAGTTTAACTGTTATACTATGAAAATAAGTGTACAATAAAGTGTGTGCCGCTAAAACTCAGAAACGATCGAGGAAGTTATTAGGTGGGATGAGGAAGGTTCTTGTTTTTATCTGAAGCGCGTGCTTTTGAAGATATAAGGGCTCAATGTTTTACTCTCTGGAAACTTTTTGAACAATCCAGAACATTATTATTCGAGATCACATACAATGTTCGACAATAGTAAAGTGTTGTTCTCACTTGAATCCTTTCTCTGAGACTAGATTACTATTCGTAATTATATTAACGTCATCTCTCACATTGAATGACAATTTGAACAAAAACGTGCAGGTACATAGGAATTAGTCTATCAGGTAATAAAATTGTTATCGGCAAATTCATATAACAAATCTGAAAAAGCGATTGAGGCAATTGATTTTTTTGCGATTAAACCCGCATCATATCCATTCGAAGCGGCCATTGTATTGGAATTCATTTATTCGAACCATTAATGTTAGTAGAAATATTTTCCATTAAAACTTGATGTTTGGAATGGAATGATGCAGCCACACGTATATTGAAATATGAAAAAACTAATTAACCCACATTACTGATCTTCGCAGGAGGAATACGAGGGAGATATGAAATTTATGTAAGTGCTCATGGGAGAAAATTATTCATCCGTTAACGGAGAATATGAGGGCCTCATTGGACAGAGTGTGGGGGCCTTCTATATCGGGAGGAGTGGTCTACAGCATAATCTAGAGCTTTCCTAACTAACGGATTATGTGAGTTTCCGCAATATCTAGAACTCGCAGATTCCCCGACTGAATGGACTGCTGAATTGAAGACAATGCGGATGGCGCCATTCTGCACGAACCAGGGAGCACCTACTAACATCCGTATTAACTTATTTTGGAATCTCCGGAGCGTACATGATGACAGGCTTGAACATCGTGTTGTATACCGTAATTTTGTTCTTTAGGCTGGAGGGTACAGACTTGTTATCTGACCCTCGATCTTCGCTTTCACGTTTTCGAAGTGCGGAGTCCAGGTGAGCCCACGGTCTATTAGAAGACCGAGGTACTTGCCATTCGATCTCCCTTCCAAAGACCCTCACTTCAATATCCGGAAATGTGGTTCTTTTCATGGTTATTACCTGAGTTATGTTCGGGTTGACTAGGATCTTCCAATCGATGTAACAGCGTTCAAGATCGTCCAACGCACGTTGCATGTAGACAATCCCGAGCTCACAGCCCATGGAAGAGGCGAGGAGAGCCGTATCATCGGCAAATAGAGACACCATCACACGCTCGGACCTCGGTAGGTCGCTGGTGTAAACATAGTAGAGCGTGGGAAAGAGCTCGGCCCCATTTACTCTAACCTGTAAGTTTCTGTAAGACCCACCCCACCGAATCATACCCAGAGACAGGGCGAAAGCGAGTAGCTTATGAAGAAGACCTTCGTGCAACAGACGGTCGAAGGCCTTCGAAATGTCTAAGAGGACAATATAAACTTTTTTATTGGTGTTCAACTCCGCGATGGTAACTTTTGGTGTGAACATTTCAGTTTACCATTAATTACACGTAAGCAGATCACCCCTGCTGTTCTAGACACAAAATTCATCAAAACATCTTCTATTGGACCGACAGAAAGGTCAAACCTATTTATTCCAGGATATGTAAGAATCCCCATTGTCGCAAGGTCAAGCTTCGATATCGTCCCCTGACTGGAAATTATCTTTTTCTCCGTAGTCTTCACTGTAAGGCAAGAAGATGAAACAAGAATCCAAAAAGTATTTGTGATCCAAAAATGTCGCAACTTAGTTGTGAAACACACCGATCTTGTTTATACGAGTTTGAGCTTTTTGCCGATTCAGTAGATGGACATCTTCGTGAGGGATATTCATTCTTACGTATGCTGATAACACTGACAATAAGATTTCATTATTTTGGCAATGAAACAGTACTTAAGTGAAATTTTTGGCAAAAAAGTACCAGTATGGCAATAGAATTATTGAATGAACAATGCCTTGATTTACCAATACCCACACCCCTACAATATAGGGCTAGTGAACACACCTCTATGCAGGATGTGCGAACAGGAAGATGACCTAGGAGGACAACTCCTCGGGAGGATATACAATGAGTCATATGTGGTCTAAGTGCTATGGGCTTACACTCACCCTCCCAGATACCATTACACACAAAATTTTCTTGGTGTGAGTAATAAACCTCATTATTCAACAACTGAAGAACACCATGCAAACGAATCTTCATTCGTCGTGGATAAACTATGATAACACTGACAATAAGATTTCATTATTTTGGCAATAAAACAGTACTTAAGTGAAATTTTTGGCAAAAAAGTACCAGTATGGCAATAGAATTATTGAATGAACAATGCCGTGATTTACCATTACCCACACCTCTACAATATAGGGCTAGTGGACACACCTCTATGCAGGATGTGCGAACAGGAAGATGACCTAGGAGGATGACCTAGGAGGACAACTCCTCGGGAGGATGTACAATGGGTCAGATGTGGTCTTAGTGCTTTGGGCTTACACTCACCCTCCCAGATACCATTACACACATAATTTTCTTGGTGTGAGTAATAAACCTCATTATTCAACAACTGAAGAACACCATGCAAACGAATCTTCATTCGTCGTGGATAAACTAGATTTCAATAATACATTTTCATCAGGAGTGGCGTCTCTTTTGTACTACAGCTAGAATCACACGGTATACCAACATCAATCCGCTTCAATACCTCTCACTGTCGGTTATAATGATGCCGTTCACAATAGTAGCAATTATTTATTACGATCGTGTTGTGCTATTATAAGTAAAGTCGTTGGAAATTTACATTATTACGCTGCGAAAGCCATTGAAGGCAATAACCGTAAAGAATACTCGGGCCAGTCATGAGATTGTTGGATTTCATTATTATTACCACTTTGTAGAGGTCGTTTTTCTCTATCGGAACGATAGACTTGTATTAGTTGCGCATTTTTTCCGTGAGAGTTTGATTAACGAAAGCTTTTGTGTTCTTCGGTCTTATGGCAGGAACTGTATGGTGATTGCTAATATGTAAACGCTCTCTGTGAATCAGGTAGTAGATAAAATGAATTGGGATCTATTGATCCTATAGATGGTGGGGGAAGATGCCATTGCAATGGCATTGCCTCAATACACAAAATAGAATTGAGTAAGGGATTCGGATATTTCTGTTTGAAAAAAATCTGTTTTTCCATTAATCATGTGTCACCCCCATACGAACGACAACTCTCAGAAGTTGAGAAACTTGTGCGAGCTAAGGACTAACGAGGTCTTACCTTTTAACGTGTGATATTTGTTTTAGGTTGTTTCAAAAGTGTGTTCTGGTATATACTGATGTCGACCAATTTTTCTCTACGAATTCAAATTGAACCTTAGTGCTGCCGAAATAACCTGAAAAATTAACCAAACTCTTGGCAATGATAATGTTGATGCACGCACTGTTCGAAGTTGGTTTGTGGATTTTCGTGACGGAGATTTTAGCCTCAAAGTGGTCGACCTACAGTAATCCAGGACGTGGGTTTGAGGACCCTGGTGGAGACTGTTCCATCACAAAGGGTGCGTGAGATGGCGGAAGAACTGGGTGTTCCCTCCCATGTGATTTTTGATGGTTTGAAACGTATTGGAAAGGTCGACAAAAAACGTCACGTTTCTAGGTCTGTTCTTCTTTGCTTTTGCGCAACCAAAACTATCCTCATTTGGATCGGATCGTTGGGTGTAATGAACAGTGACTCCTCTACGACAACAGGAGACTTTCAGAACAGTGGTTGGACAGCGATGAGCCGCCCAAGCACTTTCCAAAGGCGAAAACCCACCAAAAAAACTCCGTCGTTACTGTATGGTGATCGGTCAGCATCTGGTTTGATGCACTATAACTTTCTGTAATAGGGCCAAACCATAAATCACCGTTCGAAAATTAAACGAATTGAGCGACGAAGTTCTACCTAACCCACCGTACTGTCCAGACCTTTCGCCAACCGACTACCATCTTTTCAAGCACTTCGATAACTTTCTCGCCGGTATAACCTCCGCCAATCAGTACCAGGCAAAATCAGCCTTCGTCGACTTCATCGAATCCCGAGCACACAATTTTTATGCTGACGGAACTAATCTACTAGTGTTACGTTGGCAAAAGTGCACTGATTCAATACAGGACTATTCTAGTTTTGCAATTGTTTTCTTATGCTATATCAATATGGAGTATTCCCGTATTAAGTTGTTGCAAAAATTGAATATGCATCTATTCAACTGAAAATGTCTAAGATTGAACCGGTATAATGAGTTGCCTATATCTCTGGTACCTTTGCTACTTGAAAATCGACTATTGTGTTCGAATTAAATCGTCCAGTTTTTGTAGGTTTTCTTATAGTATGAGATACGATTCTCTCGTGAATTGTTTCGGAATTCCTGGGAAGTGAATGTACCCTCGAGACGAATGAGTTTCCAAATCAAAATTCTGATTAAGTTTTCTCGAGTTTGGTGCAGGTAAAATTTGTATTCCCGTATTAAGTTGTTGCAAAAATTGAATATGCATCTATTCAACTGAAAATGTCTAAGATTGAACCGGTATAATGAGTTGCCTATATCTCAGGTACCTTTGCTACTTGAAAATCGACTATTCTGTTCGAATTAAATCGTCCAGTTTTTGTAGATTTTCTTATAGTATGAGATACGATTCTCTCGTGAATTGTTTCGGAATTCTTGGGAAGTGAGTGTACCCTCGAGACGAATGAGTTTCCAAATCAAAATTCTGATTAAGTTTTCTCGAGTTTGGTGCAGGTAAAATTTTCATTAGTTATTGTGTTCAATAGAAAATTTATTATTTATGTAATTTTCAGTATTTACTTTCACGGAATTTCAATAGTTCTGCTGGGAATTGAATGTGTTGGAAAAGGCCCGAGTTTTTATTTAAATTATTGGCAAGTGCACGAACCTATCCAGCTTGTCCCCGTCTTGGTGTTGCTGTTTTGTTACAAGATTTCACCACATAATATGAATATATTCCTAATGTGTAATTGTTTTTCCCAGTATTCATTAATATATCTATCAGATCCTACTATGTCCAACCAATACTAATTGTATTTTCTATTCTCAGAAAAAAATAATTAAAATACCAATTTTCATTCTGAAACAAACATATAGATTCTAGCAATGATTCTAGATAAGTTCTCAAAAACTATATACAATAATTCATGTAAGGGTCATCTAAATATTGAACTTTGAATTCCAAAAGTAAAAATATTCAATGCATTTTTATTTTCAATGTAAACTAGACCTATTATGATAAGTCTACTTCATCTCCTGGAGACGTCAGTATGGTTGATAAAAGCCGCGTCGAGAATAGTGTTGCAAAGTTGGTGTTTGACACAAGCACTTGTTTTGGATTTATTCCGTGCCAGAGGTTCCAGTTTCACTTTCCATTATGATCTATTTGTTTCCTGCATTTGAATAATTACAAAATACTTCCATCTATGTGAATTTTCATAATTTGACCATAAATCGTCCAGAATCTATGACAAATAAAATATTTGACTTTTTTTGAAAAACATCTATTTATGTAGGTAACTTGAAATGTACTGAAAATGTTCTGCACTTTAAATAAACGATTTGACTAATGTCAGTGAATTATGGCGACAAAAAACAACCTGGAGTGATGGTATAAACAAATTGAATAGGTTTGGGAAAATAAAACAGTTCCAAACAAAAACAAGAATTCAATTTTAATGCATATATGCATTTAATTCAAACTGGAAACATCACTTAAAAAATAACAAATATTGTTTGTCACCGATTTGAAAAAGATTTTACTCCTAGAATTTATTAATGGGTATTAGAATATCATTATTGGTTTTTTCAATTTCAGACGATACAATTTCGAGAAGACAATGTTTAGAATCATCCTTAATCTTGAAATATTTCGTGAAATAGGTATATGAACTTCACAATTACTAATATTGGTATATAACCGAGTATATAACCATGAGTCAACACAACTGAAACACTTTTTTCGAATTAAAAAAAAAAGAACTGTCAGTTATCTAAGAAATGTCTTTTGATTTGTATAATCTGGCAGTTGAATATATCTAGGACATGACTAACAAAATTAGAGGTATCGCACATTGTATACATTGAAGATTTCTTGATTATATTTGTACGCGAAGTGTTGAGAAAACATCTGACACTATTCCTAGATGTCCGTCTAGAAACCCTAAAATTCAACATATGTAAACCAGTGTCGAGGAAAATGGAAGAAGTAAATTCCCGTTTCTCAATCACGGTTTAAGAAATATGGAAGCGACCTAAGTATTTCTTCAATAGGGTGAAAGAATGTCGTTAATCTGAACTGCACTGCTATTTACTGTTTTTAATTCCAGGTGAAATATTGCCAATTGCACCAGTTTCCACTTCCCGACTTGATACGTGTATGTGAAAAATTAAAAGAATGTTGAACGTATAATGGTGACACCGTTTTGCTCAGCCACAAGGCATAGCTAACTCCATAACAAGTCTCGTAACAAGCCGTGGTGAGAAAGAAATGGCAACACTGTCCAGGGTCCTATGCTTTGATGATAATATTCATATCGGTAATAAATTAAACAGTTTTTCTGTAGTTTCACACCTTCGTTATCGATAATATATGAGATTGAAAGGTATTCAAATGTTAGAGTTTTGAGTGAGTGGAAGTGTTGGTGAAATTCTTCGAAAACAGCAATAATTTGAAGTGTAAAGAGGTGAATCATTTGCTATACATTCAGATCAGGTTTTACTTCCCAGAAGATGAAGAAATGAAAGAAATGGAAATGTGTAATTTGCCGGATGAATCAATTCAAAATGCCTTGCTGAGGCTTTCGAAACCTGTAGCCTCACTGAGAACAAATCCGTGTGAAAGATGTCAGAACTTATCAACCATGATAATTTATGATTAAGTTTTTTAAATCCCTCAAACTTCGAATTGAGAATCTGAAAAGAATTCAAGGAACATCTACTTAAACGTTTCATCACAAGAAGTGAAAAAACTCCTAATTTCCAGTTTGAGAGTACGAGAACCGTGTTAAAAAACATCTTATCGAGTGCTTTTTATGTCAAAGAAATGATATCTCAACACACAGTTGATTGGCGGAAACGATTCAAGCATCACATTATTTCTATTAATACGACTTCTTGTGATTTCCTCGAATTCATTCATTATAACCTAAAATATACGCGTCATTTGCTTGTTCTGCATTTGACAATGTAGGACCCCCAGTTTATGGCTGTGCGGTGTTGTCAACTGTCTCAACATGGCTTTGCCAACTCCATAACTTGTATTTTCTCGAACGCTTTCCATAACATATCGAATCGAATTCCGGCATTCTTCCTTTCTCTTTGTCGATTATTGCTGTCGATGTATAACGGCGTGTACAGAACAGTAGCGGCACAAAGACGTGACATCCTGATACACGTCCTCGTACCAACATGAAAAAAATGAAGAAATAGACATTCGTTCGAAATGCAAAGTGTCGTACTTCTGTCGAACGTGACGTTATTTATTTATGCAGCATGACGTCGATCGGTTTTATCGAGCATACGATCAGAATCTGTAAGATCCTCAAGGATTGTTCTTGGTAAAACCGCCATTGTTATACCAATTATGTGACCATGAAACGGCGATGGTTGATTAGTTTCAGATTAATTCCGATGCGGTTGAGTTTGGTATGCGGTAAGTGATTCGTGAAGAATAACAATAATGCGACGGCAATAACAAATTATTTGTGTGATTTCCGTGAACAAGTTACAACGCTGACCGCATGTTAAAAAAACTTAGATTCGATTGTGTCGGAGGATTAAAATCAATTCCTATAGTGGTTTCTGTTGTTTTGTTTGTCGGGAATTTTGAATCGACTTTTTCTTTCAACAGTTAATTAGTAAGGTCTTATAAATTTTCGTTTCGAAATGTCTGCGATGTGTATTACATCCTGCCTTTTGTCCTTTCTTTCCATTTGGCAACATGTAGTTTCCTGGTGTTTTCCTTTTTTGTTTTTTCCACCAATACAATTGTGCATTCTTAGATTTTGGACTCTGTTTTCTGTCATCCTCAATACATATTCTAGTAAATAATATGAGGAATCGAAAAAACAGGTCAATTTTTTAGTCAAGCGGGGCACTTTCAAAAAAATATTTGATTGGCGCCGTCGCCATTTTCGTGCCTTCAGCCTAAATAGTTCGGCTTAGATTAGTTTAAGTTATGACTGCTGTTGGACGTCCCTAGATGCCCACATTTTTTTCTATGGTTGTGTTCTGCTCACTTAAAAAAACAGTATCGGTATATCTGCGAGGAACGCTCAAAAAAGTCTTACATAACAAGTGTTCGAAATAAGAAGAGTGCTTTGAAAAAATAAGAAAGGAAGGACAAGAGCTAGATGGATATGGAAAATCTGGAAAGAAACCTGAAGAAATCTAACACAAGACAAAAACAATACTTATTTCACTTGATTGACCTTGTTTTTTACCACTTTTATTTGTAACTAAAGTTACTGCAGTTATCCATCCTATACATTTTCAATGTATAAGTTTTGAAAATGTACTTATAGGACGAAACTGCAGTAACGTAAGTTACAAATTAAAATGGTAAAAAACATAGATAGTTTCATTTCCCATTTTTCACTTCAGTCAATTGAATTGACAGGACACCGTCACTTTTAAGTATATTTTCATTTCCTTTCATTAAGTTATGAAAGTCAGTTATCTCTCGTTAGAAGTACTGTTCAATGAAAAAATCAAAATGATTAAAATCGTTTTATATTTTTACATTTCAACTTGAAATGTAGTGCATTGCCATTAATGCAGAGAAAAGAACGAACATCATGTGACGTCATTCAGAATCTCGATGCTGTTATGTGAGTAAAAAACCTTTCTGCCTGCCGACATGCATCATAAATTACCATCGTCGAAGATAAGAAAAACATGCCCACTTTTACTTAATAATCTGAGTGAAAATCGTGATATTGCACTCAACCAAATTACCTCTAATTCTCCCAGATTATCGACCAACATAAAGTTAATGATTGATAAAAAAAAGGCAACTCTATACATCGTGTAAACTGTTATCTCAACCATGGCTATTTTATATATTTCCAGGAGTGGTTATACCAGTTTTATTAGACGGCCTACCAAATGGGAGATAAACTGTAATGGATGAAGCGCTAGCGGGAAGATCTGAGACTTGTTTCGAAACCAATTACAATTTTTCAATTAAATATGACTGAAATGTCGATGGCATCCGAGAAATGTACAGGTACAAATGCTTGTGGCTTCTCGAAAGGAATGGTATTCTTCTCACAAATAGCAGACGTTTCAAAATGTTTTCGATTGCGGCCATCGATTGCTCTCTTGACGTTATACCCGGTGGTCAGTGTGCAATGGATGGGAATAAAAGATGGATCGGAGGCAGTTTAACGATTCTTTTAGAGGAATGACAAGTTATTAGCGGTGAAGCTGATAGTTCCAATGGGTAGTAGTTCCAAGGTAGTATTTCCTTTTTTCTCTAGTCTCTGGTATTCGAGAGAATCGGTAACGTTCGTGAGAACTGAACAGCTTTCAAATGATGTAGTAATTGTACAATATACAATGTGCGCGAAATAAAGAGGGCCAGCATGGTAAAATCGTATAAGAGGTATGAAGTTGGTTAAATTAGGAAAAAGGTGCCCATTTCGTAGTCTAGTTAAATGCTTGAAATATACTAATTGAATGATAATGATGATATATCAGTGAAAATGTCGCCAAAGGAGCTATCTTATACTGTCTGCCGGTCCATCAAGAATTAAAATTGGTGGTGGAGTCTCGGAGTCGAAATGTCGGAATAAAAATCTGCAAACACAATCATGTATACAGTAGGCTGAATTGGACACTTTCGAAGGGAAACTCCCTGTTTTCAAACTGGATAGATGAAAACTGATGGCTGTGTCTGAGGGGCAAAATTAATGACAAACTGAATGATGAAAACGCATATCGATATCTTTCATCGTTTATGAGTTACATCATGTTTTTCGAAAACGTGCATTTTCGAAAAGTTGCTGTAACTTTTTTCTGTCACAAATTTCTTGTGACAAAACCTTGGCTGACCTTATTCCCCATTCCTTATACTACTTATGTCTATACTGTGGAATTATATCTAAAGTCAAAGGTAAAGTAACGTTGCTACACTTACTTATGATATTGCGCCTGAAGGAAACTAAATTCTTCTTTTATCCTATCACATGATTCGCCCACTGTAAATTTGAATGGTTGTCCTGGTTGAGGAGGCCCCTAAAAAAAGAAAAATCGTAATTATAATACAATTCACAACGTTTTTGAGATATTCATTACATTATAAGCGACAAGTTTATTTGTTGAGTATAAAGTAAAACATACAAAATATATTTCATGGGAGAGAGACAAGATTCGTCTAGGCAGTCTAGGCGATCTGAAAGGGTATAGGGTCACCTATCGTAGTTCTACTTAAAGTAAGTATGCCATTTCATCACGGAAACTTCTAAGATATTTTCAAGCCTCAAAGGTTAGTTAGTTACTCTAAATTAATTTTCCAAAAGTAGGAATTATGAATTATTTTTTATTTCAATGGTTTGTTAGTCAGTGAAAGTTATTTAAGATAAAATTAGCTTTTTAAATGAGTACATTATCAACCTGACTATGATTGGCTTGCACCTGGTGCAGAGAAAGACCAGACATCTTCATGTTATAAAGCAGATTATCAATAACGTATAACAAACCTATATAACGTTAAAAGATGCAGTTTCTCTAGGAAACGATACCATCGAACCAGTGACGTCATAATATGGACTGGCTATTGAAGAGAGAACAATGACTCCATCAACTGAAAAAAGATGAAGAGACACACGTCTTGACATTTACGTCAGTCATATATTTAACGTCAGATACAATATCACAATGTTTTACGTGTTGTATATTGTATATTTCTATTGTGAAAATTTTGGCCAGTCCATATCACCATATCTATAGAACAGCATTCAATATTTGTGGAGTAATTAGACACAAAATGTGAAGGTCCTCACAGAGAAGGAGACTTTGATAATTGATGGTTTTTGACTGAAGACGTAAATGTTTCGTTCCTCATAAACAGTAATCACTCATCCATTCTTCTTCATTCAAGGCAAAGCAGTAAAAATTATAACAAGCATAACATAACCTTGAATGGAGTAATTTTTCTAAGAATACTCCTATCAAACAGCGATCAATATTTGTGAAGGAATTAGATAAAAAATGTGAAGGACCTCGCAGAGAAATACTGGTAGAGCACACATCATACCAAAATATTTACCCACCGGCCATATTTGAGTTTTGATTAGAAGGGGGCATGATTCCATGTTTGCTGTGTAAATATATCGCTGAAACGGCTAAGAATGCGATGTTTACGCAAGATCGAGTTTGCTTTGGAAGTGTACGACATAGAGAAACCATAGAAAATCTTTGTCGCAACAGCTGCTGGGTTATCCTGTAGCGACATCATAACCTCTTTTAGCAAAACGTACACTGGAAACGACAACATACGGTTTGTTCACGATTTTGCGGACAATGGCGTCTTTCAGATGTTTCTTGGAAGGGTCGTGTCTCAATACCTGAAAACGACTGGGTGTGCATTTTGCAAGATTTCGTGGGAGTGATTACTGATACGATCTTATGAATATAAAAAACCAGATGGATGTTTTGTTATGAAATCTGAAGATGATCGAAATGAAGTTGAAATTGAGATTATGGTACGTCCTGGTGAAGGTTTTTCCTGAAAGCGGAGGTATGAAAATTATTTTTCTAGACTAGAAATTAGATGCTTTTAAATGCTTTTCAAAAAGAAATATTATCCCTATTTTTAGATATCGGAGAATACTCTGCCACCCTGTATATATGCACGTGTCCCTCTTCAAGTTATTTCAATATATAAACATTAAACATACCATAATATAAACAAACGATATAGCCAAGCAGACATTCAATCGATACATTTTGTAGAGTTCGGATCCTTAATAAATATTTAGAAACTAAACATAACATTATACCTATAGGAAGTCTGTTCAGAAAATTGGGTGAATATTCAAATTTCGCGGGCTATGTTCAAATTTGGCGGGCTATGTATATTCGATTAGCATTTTTTTATGTTGGTATACTCGTCTCGAACATAGTTGTCTGTTTTAGCTGTTTGGCATGTTTAGTTTGTTGGTGAGAGGCACAAAAGTTAGAAGTGTGTTGTATGTTCGGCGATTTTCTGTTTTCGAAAAAAGGAATCAAAGAATTGGTATCAAATTCTGTATAAAAAATGGAATTAAGTGCTGAAAAATACTTGTAATGTTGACAGTGGCATACGGTGATTGTAGCCTGAGTCAAAAATATGTTTTCAAGTGGTACAAGTGAAGAAAATGCATTGGAGAATCGTCGAATCACTCTAAGAGAAGTTGCTGAGGATGTCGGCATATCGGTTGGCTGATTCCACGCAATTTTTCGGGAAATTTTGGGCATGAGGCGTATCACTGGTGTCATCAAAAACACGTGTGACACCTCTGAAAACCTTGTCAGTTCCAAGATGTTATGGCAAGCAGACTGGCACATTCAATACGATCGGAATTGGACATACCTATAACTCAATTGTATTTTTGGTCAGACTCCAGATGTCAGACTCCAGAGATTCAAGATAGGACTAACGTGGAAGACTGTAGGTGGGTTCCTACCGACCTGAACCCGGCTGATGAAGGGACTAGACAGCATTTTGATACCACATTATCAAAACGGGGTAAACAGAAGAAAACTCAAAAATCTATCCAAGTTAATGATGTTGTTATACTAATTGATAACACATTACCAGATCCTGATAGCAGAGTATGTGTCGTAAATCTGAAAACTTCAAATGCCGAATATACAATCGACCAGTGACAAAATTTGTTTATTGGATCTAAATAAAAAATAGTGGTGAGGATGTTGAAACTTGTTATTCAGATATTCTTATTATTCAATTTGTTGCTTATTTTCATATTTTTCTGCTCACCATATAGTTGTTATAAAAAGGAAAGACTGTCAGAAGTTAGTTTGGAGAAGTCATTAAAATTTTGTTAGACTAAAAATACAGTTTATTTGACGATTCCTGAAAGGAAAAATAACTAGAGTCTTAACAAGGCGTGTGGCAGATAAGTTCGTTCTAAAATGGCTGAATTTTGACCCAAAAAAACCGTCTCATGAGCATCGTTCAGGAATTGTTGAGTGGCTAAAAGAACTGAAGGACAGTCAAAAATCAATAAAGTTTTTGGGGGTAACGCTGGATCAAAAACCTAATTGGAGAAAACACATCAAAGATCTCTCTACTAAGTTGTCCAGCACTCTACCTGCTTCATAGAATCAATGAATTTGTTCCCTCTTATGTTTCGAGAGCAGCTTACATGGGGTTATTTCAGTCTAAGCTATCATACGGATTGGTTTTTTGGGGACTTTCAACTGATTGGGAAAGGATATTCATTCTACAAAAAACGGGTATTGGAATCCTGGGAAGGGCAAAACGAACTGACACCTGTAAACCTCTATTTAAAAAAATTTTTATATTAACCATTACGGCTCTATACATATTTCAATGTCTTGTCTATATCAATACACAAAATAACACTCCTCAAGTTAATCGCAACCATGAATATTTGACCAGAAATGGCCACAATCTTGTTATGCCACAACATCGACTGGCAGTTACTTATAGAAGCTTTTTTACTATGGCGATAAGGCCCTTCAACCATCTGCCACCATATGAGGAAATTACATATGATTAAATTCAAAAAAGGTATAAAAGGGCTGCTGGTTGATATTTGCCCTTATGACGTAAGTACATTTTTTAACTGCAAGTTTTAATGCTTTTCCTTTTCAATGTGTATGTTTTGTATTGTTTGAAAGGATCATAATGACATCGAAACCAAAGACCAATCGTCTGAATGGAAGAGCACAGGAAAGCCAATGCCAAAAAAGCACGCCAAGTTCGATGAAATGTCAAGGACTGTCGTGGCGCAGTGCATCAGGAGTTATTTCCACATGGTCGTACGGTCAATTAAAAGTATTACCTTGAAGTTATGCGCCGCTTACGACAAGCAATACGAATAAAACGTCCATGGAAAACATGCCGTAGCCACCGTATTCACCAGACTTGTCCCCCTGTGATTTTTTTCTTTTCCCAAGATTGCAGAGACCCATGAAGAGAAGGCGTTTTGTGACGATTAAAAAGATAAAAACCGAATCGCTGAGAGAGATCAAGTTCATACCAAAAAGTACATATCAGAACTGCTTCGAGTATTGAAGAAAACCCTGACACAAGTGTATATGAGGAGGGCTACTTACAAAGGAGTAAAATAGAAATTGATGAATAAATAAAAGAAAATTAAATAAATTAAAATTCACCATATTTTTTAAACAGACCTCGTTCTTTGCGTATCATTAGTAGATTTTGAAGAAATGGCAATTTTGCAAAATCATATATACATACATACACTGAATTTTAAAGTAGTAATGATGATTTTTCAATTGGGGTGGTAATTAGGGTGTGATTTTCATCATATTGTGTCGAAAAAAATATAAAGACAACTATTTTCAACATAACTCGCTAATTTTTGATACTAGACTTTTATAAAAAATAAAAAAGACTTTTAAGCACTTCAAAAAATGTGATTTTTTCCAGAAGAATGTATTATATTTTTGTTAACTTCACATTGAAATATTCAAGTCCGCCATTCTTTTTGCTTATTTATAAGCTTTATTTTTACTGAGAATGATTTATTTCGAAGAAATATCTTAATTGACACTTTCTATCGCGAATAAGTCTGAAACTATTGATTTTCAGAAAAAACTTCACAGAAAAAAAGTTGTTTAGTACTTGTCAATCTATTTCCTGAATTATTTTACAAACCCAGAGTAAAAGCAACATCCGGTACACGGTCAACTTTGTTTGAGGGTAAGTAGAATATAAATCCAAATTTTTATGAACATCGACGGAACAACATAATCAAAAACCATCATAACTTTTTTCCTTTCCTGCCAAACAAAACAAGCATGACAAGTCGGAGCAGTTTATTAAATAAAATGAGCCATTAGAACGTAATTTCCACAGCCACCTATTTCATCGGCTTTATCGGTCGACAGGATCTGTCGGATATAAACGACTACAGGCGCAGAGATGTCTTACAAGATAGCCGGTGGACGTTCATCAGAACTAAAAGCTTCCGTGCTCTCACGACTAGGTTGCTTGATGCATTCTATAATTTTATATATTT